GTGTGTGTGTGTGTGTGTGTGTGTGTGTGTGTGTGTGTGTTGCTGGGGATCAAACCCAGGGTCTCATGCATGCTAGGTAAGTACTCTATCAATGACCTGTATCCCCAGGCCCTTTTGTGCTGTTTTTCTGGGCTCCCTTGCCCGCAAAGCTCTCTATTCAGGAACACACATTTTCTGAGGGGCTCTGCAGACTCCGCCTGGCTGGGGCTTCCATGCGTAGCACCTCACTTCATTGTTACCCAGCGAGGCAGGGAGGTGTTATTGGTCCACATGGCAGAGTGGCATGTGGTGGCTCAGAGGAAACTAACCTGTCCACCCAACGCCAAAATAACGTTTCCTTTAGAAGTGCCCTGGCCTCCTGACTTTCCCACCTGCCTTTACTTCCTGTCCATCCCCCTCTCCTTTCTGTTGGGGAGTACAGGTGATGCCCAGTTCTCCCCAGGAGCAGTCTGTGTACCACCTCATTCCTCAGCCCCCTCCTCTGTTAGCACATCAGGCTTTGGGTACTTGCTGGAGGCCTGTTGGGGGTGCAGGAATCTGCTGGGCCTGGCCGGACTTCTCATGGAGGGTGAGACTACAAAGCACAGGGGCCTCAACAGGTGCTCTACAGAGGGCCGAGTGCTGCTCACTTCCCACCACGACCCCCAGCTTGTGCACCAGACTACTAGCTCCAGTTGACACAGGAGGAGCTGGGGCACAGGAGGCTTAGCCTTGTGTGGCCCAAGGTCAAGCAGTCAGCAAGTGGCTGCCATTTAAACCCATCTTTTGCTCTTAAATTCTGTATACCCAGCCAGATTCTGTGTACCTCTGAACTTCTCTATCTTCCTTGGGGCCTGGATGCTGTCAAAGAAATGACTGTATCAAATAGCACCTTAGACCAGAGGATTCCTTAGGAAGAGTTGACAGGGCACTGGAGGAAAAGAAGGAGCCTGGAGTCCGGAGTCTGACGCTTGCCAACTGTGGGCCTTGAGCAAGTGTCTTCACTTTTCTGGGCCCTGGT